TTAAAGAAGAGACAGATGATTCTAAACGCAAAGAGATTGAGGAGCTCAGGGATGCTCATCTTGACAGAGCTCAGGCAGGCTATGATTTGAAAAAATCTCTGAAGATTGATGCTCAAACTGATCTTTCTCTACGGGTGCTCGTATTTGATCTAGAACAAGTTCTTGAAACCCCACTTTTGAGCACTGGAGCTGCATTTTATTTCAGACGGTTATCTACTTTTAACTTAACAATTTATGACTGTACCACAAAAGTTACTCACTGTTACATGTGGTGTGAAGTAGATGGCAACAGAGGAGCAAACGAAATAGCCTCTTGTCTGTTTTACCACTGCCTTGATGTGATTCCAGAAACTGTGAAGAAAGTGGTTTTTTTCTCAGATTCGTGCTCAGGCCAGAACAGAAACAGCATTGTTGCAGCTATGTTTCTGACCATGGTGCAGATGCATACTTCAGTACAAACTGTCGAACATGTTTTCTTGGAAGCTGGCCACACCAGGATGGAGGTAGATAGCAAACATTCTGTAATTGAAAGGAAAAAGAAACATTGTGATAGTATTTACTTACCATCTGATTGGTATAATGCAGTAAGAGATCTTGGTGCACCTTCAGAACAATATCCACTGGGAAAGTTTGTTGTCACAGAAATGAAAGGACAATTTTATGATTTCGAAGCTTTCTTGAAAGGACCCCTTGTCTTGCGTCATGTCACCACTCAGAAAGAGAAGTTTCTTTGGACTACAACTCCTCTACTGCGTTATGATGCCAACAAACAAGCTAAAGTTTTTTTTAAGAAAAATCTGCAAGATAAAGGATACTGTTGCATTGACTTTCAGCGCAGAGGCAAAGCAGGTGCATACGCTGCTGAAAATCTTGCTCATTACATTAGGCGTTGTCATCTGAACCCACTTCCCATCTCTAAAGAGAAGAAGACTGATTTGATGAAGCTGCTTCCCCTGATACCTACATCTGCTCACGAGTTCTACAAGTCACTGCCAACTCATGATGGAAATGATGATTGTGAAAGTGTTGCAGAAGATTGTGATGAAGATGTTGAAGAAGAAATTAGTGATTAAGTGCTGTGATTTCAAGAGGTATAGTCCATGAAATATAGTACCTGCTTTGATAGATTTATATTTTCAAATTTCTGTTATACTATGATGTACTGCTTTCCTGTAAATTCTTGACTTATGGCTAAATTATTTTATTTGCAAAATGAAATTGTCAGTCAACTTAATAATTTGTGTTAACTTATTGAAAAGGAGAGGAAGAAGTTTATTGATCGATTTTTTAAATTTGAATAGATAAAATATTGACTGTTTTAACTTTGTTCAGTAATGTTTTACTGATGTGTATTAACTTTTCTAAGAAACTTCTTATTAGTTTGCTTTACAATGCCTATTTGCACGAAAGTTTCTATGTAACCTTACCTATGCCAATGACTAATGTAAAATTTGTATTTTTACATTATGAGGGATCGTTTTTTATTTTGCCTAGCATGTTTCCCTTTACTTTGGGCTGTCAGCTTTGACTCATTTGTAATAATTGGTAAATTAGTAAGGAAATCTTTCTTCCAACTTGTCAAATAGAAGAAGTTACTAGTGTTATAATACAATGTCAAATATTTACTTTATACTAATTTTTGACTGATGAATTGCGTTTACATTCTTTTAAAGAACTGTACTGTTTTTGTATAATAT